CCGCCGTCTCCCCCTCCGTGGCTGGATCCATCACTGGGAAGCCCTCCTGGGCCAGTGGACGTCCCCAAGGCCCCGGCTGGGTCCCCACAGACACATCTCCACGGACAGGGGTCTGCCCGCCCTGCGATGGGGCTGTGCCCTCGTCCCCTGCTACCTCTTCCTGAAGAGGACGACCTAGCTCTGTCCTACTCCCCACCGTCCCCTCCCGTGCCTTCTTGCCTCCGTGGTAGCTGGTTTTCATTTTCTGGTAGATTCTCTTGAATGTCTCTTTCCCATACACCTGCCACTTGTCCTGGGAGAACATCTTCAGCGGCCTCTGGCCGCACTTCTTCCCGGCTGCTCCGCCCCTTCTGGCCGCCCCCTCCCCCGCAGCTGCTCTGCTTCCACCCAGGTCCTCTGTGGGGGCCGGGCCGTCTCCGGTGAGGGGACACGGCAGGTCCTCCACGGCCGCCTGTCTGACCAGGGCCCGGGGGTGACCGCCGGGGACGTCTGCCGGCCGGGCAGGGGCAGGCCTGGGGCTCAGAGGCTTCTGCCTCCGGGGACCGGCGTCCCGCGGGTCCGGCGGCTCCTGCCACGTTCCCGTGCCCTCGACGAAGGGCAGCGAGTTGCTCCTGGTGATGGGCACGCACGCCACGGTGGAGGAGAGCTGGGTGGGGACGGAATGGAAGAAGACTGGGCGCCCCTTGTCGGGGGGCGTGAAGGTAGAGCGGGCCGGGCCCAGGGCGGCGGGCTTCCTCCGGCCGGAGGGCAGCGCCCGGATGTCGAAGTGGAAGGAGTCCTTGTAGGTGTAGGGCATGGGCAGGTCGATGCTGCCCTGCTTGCACAGGACCGTCTTACGGGGCCGCACGTTGTCCAGCTGGGAGTCGTCCACCACGGCCTGGTTGTGAGAGATGAGCCAGGCGATGCGCTGTTCCAGCTGCCGCTCCAGCCGCGGGCCCGGGGCCGCCTCCCCCTCCGACAGGCCACGCAGGGGGCTGCCGGGGGCCGGCGGCTGCTCCGCACTGTCCGAGCGGGACAGGTAGCCCGAGTCCGTGCTCTCACACTTCCTCAGCCGGCCCTCCGAGGCCCTGGCGTCCCGGGCTTTCTCCGAGGACGGCGCCGCCTGCTGCCGCGGGGCGCACGGCAGGCCGGCGGTCGGGGACAGCTGCTCTGGCGACTTCCGCCTCAGCTGGGTGCCGCCGGCCAGGGTACGCGCGGGGGAGGCCGCGTGGGCAGAGTCCACGGGGGTCTCTCTGTCGGCTGGTGCGGACCCCGGACGGGGAACGGCTTCCAACTTCAGACCCAGGGTCTTAGCGACAGAAGACGGGTGCATGGCTGACACCGGGCAGCGCCCGGCACCCTGGGCGCCTGGAGAGAGGGGCCTCCCGGATCGGCTCTGGCTCCAGCCGTCCCCTGTGCCCGCTGCCCTGGAGCTCTCTCCGGCCCCGTCCCCCTCCTCCGGGAGGCTGCCGCCCCCTCCCTCAGACTCCGAAGACAGCCGGGAGTGGTTGAGGTGCGTCTGGGTGCGCCTGTGCTTGTACAGGTTGCTCTGGGTCTTAAAGGCGATGCCGCAGGTGGCACACGGGAAGGGCCTCTCGCCCGTGTGGGACCGGATGTGCTTCTCCAGAACACTGGGCTTCAGGCAGTCGCGGCCACAGTGTGGGCAGAGGTACTTGCCGGCGTTCCGTACCTTCCCCGGGCTGCCCAGCGTGGGCCCCAGGCCCGGCGACAGGACGGGCAGCGTGCCCACAATGTTCACGGTGAGGGTCGGGGCCGCCGGCTTCCCCGCCTGGGTGGGGCCGGGGCCTTCGGGCTGCAGCAGGGGGCTGAGGATAAAGGGTCCGCCGCCCCCATCCAGGCTGCCCGTCACCAGGGGGGCACGTGGCTGGAGGCCCCCCGGGGGCCCCGTGTGGTACAGCGGGATGGGCAGGGCCTTCAGGAACACGGTGGGGGCCAGACCCTGCTCCGGTGACAGAATGACGGGGCCCAGGGTCAGGTGAGGTGAGACCTGCCCACCTGAGGCTCCTGGGTGTCCAGGGGCAGGAGCTGGCTGGTCCCGGGCAGGCGAGGCAGGGCGAGTGAGTTCTGGCACCTCCATCCTGCATCATCCGGGTGGCCCAGGATGCCTGGCGACCTGTGGGCAACAACCAAACTTTACCATGGTACCTCTCTCCTCTGATCGTGCAGTAAACTCTTCCCTGCCCCCACCAGGCATGCCGTCGCCCCACTGAAGCCCGGGAACAATCCCCCAAGAGAAGCACTGTCATCCCCACGTTAGGAAAGGGGAGACAGAGGCTCCAAGAGCGGAAGCGACTTCACAGGCAGCTGACACATGGCAAAGCAGGATCCGGACCTAGGTCTGTCTGCATCCTGTCTATTTCACGTGCCGAAAGGGAACTCTTGACTCCCGCCCCCTACCCAGGCCCACGGCAGTCTTGTCACTGTCACTCCCAACACCCAGCACAGGGCCCTGTGCAGAGGGGACACTCAGAAAATGCGCTGACTTCATGAGAAAGAAAAGTTCACGCTGGGACTCAGTTTCCAGACCTGTAAAACGGGCAGCGAATCGGCACTGCCCTCGGACCCTTTTCGCCCTGGGGTTCTGAGTCCCTGCTGTTGGAAGAGGGCAGAAAGTTAGAACGCTGACCTGAGGGAGAGCCTAACAGATTCAGCAAATGAAAACACAAGATCCCAACTAAATGAGTTTCAGAGAAACAATGCATAATTCTTTAGTAGAAGTCTACCCCAATCTCGCACGGGTCACGCTTATACTAAAAATTATGGGTTATCTACCTGAAATCCAAACGTCGCTGAGCATCCAGTATTTTATCCGGTTACCCAACCAGAGAAGGGGCACTTTCTCAACCTCAGGATCAGGCTTGGGTCTCTGCTCACAGGTGGGGCTTCCAAAAGCCCTCCACACCGGCTGGGACATAATCAGTTCCCTCTGAGCCAGAGGGAAGAGCTGGGCAAATGTGGAGGCAAGACAGGCAGAGAGACCCAGCCACGTTCTTTGAACCAGGGGAGGGGGAAAGCCAGATTCAACGGCAGGAGGGTGGACGAGCCCATGGCTACAGGAGCAGGGGTCTTCAGATGCTCCTTGCCCAGACACTCACTCCCCAGGAGCTCTGTAAGCACACTGTGGTCATCCCCCAGCTGGGCTCCTTAAGAAAAACAAATACAAACTCCTGCCTTTTGCAGCAAGCAGGTAAGGTGGAAATAGTCGCTGAAACCATTTCATATTGGCTCATATCAGCTCACACTGCCTCCTGAGAGCTGATTTTCAGGAATTGTGCAAGCCGGTTGTTAAACACGGCCATTATTAAGAGTTAAATTACATAAACTTACAATAAGCTATGTTAAAAACAAAGATATACTACTGGATGGTCACATGTAGAAGAATGAAGTAGAACTCCCTATCTCACATCAACTGAAAATCGATCAAAGACCTACATGTAATAACTAAAACTACAAAACTCTTAGAGGAAAACACAGGAGTAAATCTTCATGACCTTTGATCCGGCAGTGGATTCTTAGATATGACACCAAAAGCATGAGTGATTTAAAAAAAAAAAAAAAAAACACCTTTTTAAATCAATTTTATATAATTGTATACTAAACTTTCTTAAAATATAATTTTATACCAACTTTTTACATTGTTTTTTTACCAAAATTAAACTTTTGAGCGTCAAAGGACACTATCAAGAAAGTGAAAAGATAGCTCACAGAATGGGAGAACGTACTCGCAAATCATACGTCTGGTCCATGCAGAATAAAGAACCCTTACAACTCAATAACAAAAGAACTACCAAGTCAACTGAAAAACGAGCAAAGGACTTGAACACCCACTTCTCCAAGGAAGATTTACAAAGAGCCAAAAGCACGTGCATGGATGCTAAACACTACCAGTCATCAGAAAAAAAAAAAGCGTACATCAAAACCCCGATGAGACATGACCTCACAGCAGCTAGCATGGCTAGGAACTGGAAAGGACAGGTGTCCGTGAGGATGCCGGGAAGTGAGGACACACGAGCACTGCTTATGGGAATGTAAGATGGCGAACCACAATTCGGAGGCTCCTCAAAAAGTGAAACTTGGAATACCGTATGACCCAGCAAGCCCACTTCTGGGCACATAATACCCCCAAAGAACTAAAGAGAGGAGCTCAAATAAAAATGTGTATGTGAATGTTTACAGCAGCACATTTCGAAACAGCCAAAAGGCAGAAACAGCCCAGATGTCCACTGATGGATGAACAGGTAACCAAAACGCGACATACCCAGACAAGGAGGCCCCTTCAGCCACAGGAAGGAAGGCAGTGCTGAAATACACCGCAACGTGGACGAGCCATGAACACACACTCCACGTGCAAGAAGCCAGACCTGAGAGGTCACGTAGCGTACGATTCCGTTTGCGTGAAAAACCCAGATGGGGCACATTCATAGACACAGAAAGCAGATTACGATGATGGCCAGGGATGGAGAGAGAGAATGAGGGGTGACCGCTCGATCAGGTTCAGGGCTTCCTTGGCAGGGATGAAAATGTTCTGGCAGTGGATGTACTTCATGCTGCCCAAATGTCCACTTTAAAATAGTGAAAATGGGGCACCTGGGGGGCTCAGTCAGTTCAGCGTCCGACTTCAGCTCAGGTCACGATCTCGCGGTTTGTGAGTTCGAGCCCCGCGTGGGGCTCTGTGCTGACAGCTTGGATCCTGGAGCCGGCTTCAGACTCTGCGTCTCCCTCTTTCTCTGCCCCTCCCCTGCTCACGCTCTTTCTGTCTCTCTCTCTCTCTCTCTCTCAAAAATAAACATTAAAAATAATAATAATAAAGTAAAATAGTGAAAATGGTTGGGATGAGCACTGGGTGTTGTATGGAAACCAACCTGACAATAAATTTCATATTCAAAAATAGATAAATAAATAAATACATAAATAAATAGTGAAAATGGGGACTGTGGGGCTACGTGAATTTTACCTCCCTAAAAAAGGTACTAAATACTTGAAGCTCGTCACTTGCCAATTATTTGATTCCATCTCACCATTCTCGGTGCCCTCGGGGTCATTCTCGCTGTGTCGGCATCGTGGGCACGCCACACAACGGTGTGGCACTCCACGCTGCCGTCACTTCCCACCCGTCACGTTCATAGCTTGGGACTGGCCGTGCTGGGGGTGTTCACACCACAGGAATCGGCCAACGCCGTCAGACAGACTCCTTTGTAACGTGAAACCCGCCCTCCAGGTCGCTGCCCCTCGAATGGCTCTCGCGCCACCGTCTCCCCTGCCGCAAAGCATCTGGCGCGATGTAATTTTTTCGGGAAAGGCTCAAAGACGAGAGTCTGTAGAGATCGGAAGGGGGTCCTGGAATTCCTTGGTGCTGATGCCGACGGGAGACAATGGCTGACCTCGAGGTGCCGCAGCCTTTCTGCTAGCTGAGGAATTTCGAGGTGCTCCCCCTGGGAACCATGGGAACTGAGTGTCGGTCCCTGCTTCCTCGGCTGGCGGGCAGATTAGCCCCGAGACCCAGACCCCTCGGCACTGAGAAGAGGCCACTCGGGCAGAGCTATAGGGAGGGCCGTCCGAAACGCTGTCTGTGAGAACGCTGGGCGCGGTGCCAGGCGTGGGGGAAGGGCCCACTCATCCGGGTTTCCAAAGATCCGCCTCGACAGTTTGAACTATCAACTAGTGAGTCTCTTCCCTCATCGGTCAGCAGGCCCCATTCCCTGCTTCTGAGAAGAGATGCCGCGTCATGTTGGGTTCCCCCCAAAAAGATGATGCCATTGCCAGGATTCTATTTGGGAGCTGACCCCAGGAAACACTCACAGAGGAGAGAGAAAGACAGGGTGAAGGAGCCTATAAAGTGTCATGGGGCAGCCAGAGCGTGACTCGACGAGGGAACGATGGGAGATCACATAGAACACACGCCTCAGCGGCCCCACAGGGCGACAAGGCCGCTCGTGCATGGAAGGTCTTCCCGGGAGCAATGAGATGCTGGCTGTGCAACTGGCCCAGTGCACACACTGAGCAGCTCTGGGGCCCCAGAAAGCCAGCAGGCCCACAGCTTCCGTGGGCCGGCTCCTACGTGGCAAGTGCAGGGGGAGATGGGCGGGCAGGGCTCATGCTGGAGTTGCTGCAGCAGAAACAGAGTAAAGACTTCTGGATTCCAGAGCTTAAACCCTAAGAAGGAAATCATTTCCCAACCCTCAGTTCTGACGGTCCCCAAGTTGGGAAGAGATGGGGAGGAGGAGTGGGCGGGGAAGGAGGAGGTCCCCCAGAGTCGGCTTCAGGGTGAGCTGGGTGGAGGGGTGACCTGGACCCCACCCTCTAAGGCCATCAGGGGAGAGCCCAGGACGGAACACAAAGCACCCACTGTGCAAGTCCAGGCAGGCAAGACGGAGGAGGCCCACGGGGTTCCCGCACCCCAGGGTGAGTACCAGAGCCTGAGACGGGCCCAGGAGGGACCAGGAAAACTCAGGTTGCGTCCCAGGGGGCCTGCCCGGGGAGCTGAGGGCTGAGCATCACGTTGAGCATGGCCCCTGACATCGGCCCTCCCTCGGCGGAAAGAGAAAAGCAGCCTCGGTGGGGAGGTGCCGGGCTTCAAAACAGAAACCCCAGAAAAAGAGTGCTCCATTTCTGATACACCTGCCATGACGATTATTTGGCTCTCTCCGCAGCCTGTTCTGTGATCACAGCAAAATGGACGCCTTTTAGGAGCAGCTGATCCCGGCTGACAAGATAATGAGCCAACTGACACCCTCCTCCGGGGAGACCTCAAAGGGCCACTACTAATTTTTCTCACTCCGGACCAAGGTGGCAGCAGGTCATACGATTCCCGCTGGACTAATGGGGAAATTGAGGCACAAGGTTGGGAAGGCTCTGGGAAGACCAGCCGGTTGGCAAGACTCGCAGCCAGGGGCTCGCCTCCTTGCCATCCTCAGGGTCCACCACGTGGAGAGTGTGAAGGACCCCTCGCCTCCTCCATTCTGCCACGTGCACGGCCCCCCACCTCCTCCGAGCCCCCCGGGCCAGTAATATTGCTGTGAGTGTGCAGCTTTATAGGGATGTGAACGGAGAGGAGGGAGAAATTTGCAGGAAAGAAGG